CTCAGCAGGCTGATCTGCCCTGTGCAGGGCACCCAGGGGTCCTGCTTTCCCTGTGCAGGGCTGAGGGGCTGCTGAAGTTGGTGCTGCGAGCCCTGTGGGTGACCATGGGTAGGGGAGGATGAGGAGCTGTCTGCTATGAGGCAGGTTTTGGGATGTGTGCCCCGGTGAACACGCTGCAGTGATGCTTTCCAAGTGCTGCAGTCACACTTGTGTCAGGAGAGAGCTTTTTTGGCTTATGACTCCCAGTGTGAGGGGTGCCCGCACACCTCTCTGCACCGGGAAAAGCACGCCCAGGCGCGGGCAGACAGCCCTGCCGGCTCCGCCACTCGTTCATCCTTCTTCCTCACACGGAGACCCTGGCACCTCCCGGGCACTCGCTGCTTGGGGTTGTGTTTTCCAGCTGGTCCCAAAGTCCTGAGTCACTCTGCCGTTTCCATGGAGACAGTCTCGCTGGCAGGAATCAGTTTTGGGGGGAGAGGGTGCCAGTAGCTGGACCGGGACTGGGGAGGGGTGGCGGGGCACAGGCACTCCTCTGGTGCATCACCCCGGCGCCGGGGCTTGTGCTGGGGCTGGAGCAGCCACCTGCATTACACAGACTCTCGCACCTTCTTCCACTGCTTTTTCCCTGCCTCCCTGCCCCAGGAAAGCACAGAGGGATTTCCCTGGCAGTGGGAAGGGACCTGGGATGTGCCCAGCAGAGCCGAGGGCACAACTTCTGGGGAGCTGCTCAGAGACGGGGACAGGCTGGAAGGCAGCCAAAAACAGCAGGTTTTTTTTGACTGCTCTGTGAGAGAGCCTGGAAAACCCAGCAGTGACAGCATCAGTTACCACAGGGTCTCTGACCTAAAGCTGCCATTCATCACCCCCATGCGTCCCAAATGTGGCCACGTCCGGGGAGCAGCCAGGGAACCAGCCAGGAAGGCGTGGGGCAGGAGGCAGGGCAGCCGCGCTCCTTGGGATGCTGTGGGAGCCCCCCATGTGAAAAAGCTTTGGCAAGTCTTTGTGCAGCACCCAGCAGCTTTCAGAAGGGAGAAGATGTGTGGGTCACCCCGATCCCTGCAGCATCCCCACTGAGTCCACCCTGCCTGGCAGCACCAGCTTTGGGCACCGCAGTCCTGCTGCGCGGCTCTAAAAGCAGGTCATTCCCATCCAACCTGGGAAGAGCATCCCCAAAGCAGGAGTCTGCCTCTCAACATCTCCTCCAGGGGCTCTGCTGGGGTGCAGCTGGCCGGCCGCGCTCACTGCTCCCTGCGCCGTGACTCACAGATGCCATTCAGCTTAATTCATCGCCTCCGATCTCCCTGGTGCTCCTGGGCTCTCTTGCTGGCTTCTCGCCTGCTCGTCCTCCCTGGAGCAGTGCTGGGAGTCAGGGGAGGAGGAGGAAGGCAGGTGATGATGCACCCGCTGCCATGTGGCGGGTGTGTGGGGTGGGGGAGCTGCGGTGGGGGCAACCATTCTCTCCCTTCCACTGGGCTTAACTCTCCCTTCCACTGGGCTCAAGGCTGCAGGAAGCGTGTTAGGGGAGAGGAAAGGCTCGGTGCTTTCCTCTTCTCACAGACAATGCTCCTGTCCCCGTGCCAGGCAGTGGCTGGCCTCCTGCAGCACTCGGAGCCCTTTGCCAGATGCCGTGTATCCCTCCTGGACAGCCTGCTCCTGGTGTGGCTGCAGGCAGCTGGACAGAGACGCTGGAAGGTACGAGTGACTGACGCCCACCCCAGCTCTCTGTCTCATAGCCCCGGCTGCCTGGGGGGACCTGCTGGACCCAGCTCCCACCCTGGGGCTGCGTTTGCTCATTGCCTTTGGTGGAGCTGAGCTGGAGACAGAGCAGAGGGAGATTTCGGCTGGGAACACTTTACAGCATGGAACCATCTGTGAGGCCAGCATTTCAGATGACTCCCATGGTCACCGCATCTCATGGTCTAGGGCTGCACAGCCAACAGAGTCTGTGCCTCACACAGGGCTCCCACATAGAGCCCCACTGCTGGTCTGGGCTGCTGGCCCCAGTATCGGTGCCTGTAGGGGAACAGGCTGATTTAAGACAAAGGTCCCCTGGGGCAGGGATGGGAGAGCAGGAAGCT